TTTATGTACTAGTCTTATTCTTTTTTTTTTTAAGATTTTATTTATTTGACAGAGAGAGACACAGCGAGAGAAGGAACACAAGCAGGGGGAGTGGGAGAGGGAGAAGCAGGCTTCTCGCTGAGCAGGGAGCCCGATGCGGGGCTCGATCCTAGGACCCTGGGATCATGACCTGAGCCGAAGGCAGACGCCTAACGACTGAGCCACCCAGGCGCCCCTGTACTAGTCATATTCTTGATTGCATTTTATTCCCTTATCCTTGTTTTACCTTTCTCACCTATTTTTTTAAATTTTTTATTGTTACGTTAATCACCACACATTACATCATTAGTTTTTGATGTAGTGTTCCATGATTCATTGTTTGTGCATAACACCCAGTGCTCCACGCAGAATGTGCCCTCTTTAATACCCATCACCAGGCTAACCCATCCCCCCATCCCCCTCCCCTCTAGAACCCTCAGTTTGTTTTTCAGAGTCCATTGTCTCTCATGGTTCGTCTCCCACACCTATTTTAACTTTGTTTTTTCCATCTTTTGTGTATTTATATTTGTATACTAAATCTGAATGCCATTGCAAGTAACTGTAATTAACTTAAAAGTATAGCAGCAGTTATTTGTAAGTTTCATAAAAATAACACATAATTCTAGATTATAGAAGAGCTTTGAGTAACTGAAAGAAAGTAAAGAACTTATCAGGTAGAATAGAAACTTGGTCACCACATTCTGTTGATTCTTTCCTCAGAATGACTTCCAAATTCTCTCTCTTTATTCTATCATTGCCATGGTTCAGGCCCTTATCTATTACCTAGGCGACTGCAATTAAATCTGCATACTGCCAAGTTTCTATTAGCAAGTTTTTTTTAAAAAGATTTTATTTATTTATTTGAGAGAGAGTGAGCTCGAGAGAGCAAGAGCGAGCATGCAGGGGGAGGGAGAGGGAGAAGCAGGCTCCCTGCTGAGCAGGGAGCCAGATGCAGGACTCTATCCCAAGAACCTGGGATCATGACCTGAGCCACCCAGGCACCCCTATTAGCAAGCTTTGAATGACCTATTTCTCAAACATCAATGTAATAGGAATATTCTCACTGAAGATCACTTTCTCTTTGTTATATTTATACAGTTCTTTCATAATTATCTCTGTAACAAATGTGCCAACTGATCTGAAAATTTCCCCTTGTTCAAACAGGAGTAACCAAAAAGGATCAGTGGATATTCTAAGTCGGACAATGTTTACTGCTATGCTACAGGCAGTGAGAAAATACCCAAGTTTCTTATTTCAAATACCTCTAATTACTTATAAGGAAAATCTTTCTATTCCACATAAGAAACTCCCAAGCTATACGTCAGTCTATTTTGTCATCTACCTCATAAAAGTACCCTTATCTTTCAACTTAGCACTCATAACTACCTGGAAATCTTTCTTTGTTTCTCATTAACATCATACTCCATTTTTCAAAAAGGTTGCATTACACCACAATCTTTCTCTCTATAAACCTCAATCTTTTTCTTCATTTGGGTAACTTTCATGACACAACATTCTCCAAGTTATCAATCTTTTGTTTTGTTTTTACTTTTAACTATAAGTAATATACACAGAAATATATCCTTCCTGGAAAGTTTTTCAACATTATAGATACTGTAAAAGTCTCCTTTCCCAACCATCTTCCACTTACTACTGAGTTTAACTTTGGTCCTTTTTGACTCTCCTTCCCTCCATTTGAAAAACAATACTTCTATATGCCTAGCCCCAGAAGATATAAGACTATGTTTCTTACACATAAACTGTACATATTGTTTGGCAACTTTCTTTTTTCACGTATTGTTTTTGACAGCTATATATGTTGAATAGAGATCTAGTCCATTCTTTTTAAACTGTTGTACAGCAATGGCCAAGTTGCTTAACTACTGGCCTCAGCTTTCCACCATTCTTTTGCTTGTTTGCTCTTCAAGGTCCAATAAATTGTGTAAAGGTAAATATATCCTTCAAAGCTTAGTCCTTGATTTTTTTGCTGTTTTTTCAAGGCTTACTTCCTCTGAGAAAGCCCATCTCGTTGCTCCATGTTTTATTTACATGCTCTATTTTTTTAAAAAAAATCCCTAAATCTCCATCCTTATGGCCAACCTTAGCCAAACTTAACTTTACCTCAAGTTACTCAACAATACCTGCCCTAGGCTACTATTCTATTGCTTGAAATGTGTGATGTCTAAACTCCTGCACTGTCTAAAACTCAGTAAGTCAAAAATAAAAATTAATGGTGAATGGCTCTAAGAACAGTGGACATGAAGGCAAGGATACCTGTAGTATGCTATTACTCTAGCAGATCAAGATGGAAATAATGAGGGTCTGAATACTGACAACAATCATATGGATAGAGAGAGGAAAACAGATTTGAGAGATATTTCAAAGAACTGATGGACTTGGTGACCAAGGTGGGGTTCAAGAAAGGATAGTTTGAGATGACTCCAAGACCTTTGATTTGAATGACTGGATTAATTTGACACAGTGTCACTCAGTAAGCTAGGGAATATTGGAGGGGATGATCATGGGTCTGGTTTTAAAATGTTTAGTCAGAGACTCTTACAATGACGTGAAGCGGAAGATTTATTAGCTAGTTGGATATGAGTCTGAAGCTGAAGAGGAGACCTGATTATAGATAGTAAGTGATAGATGAAAGCATGGCATAAATTGACCTAATTGTGAAAGAAATTGACCTAAAGTGGCATTGGTTGGAAGAGGATATAAGACAGAAATAAAAAACAAATATGTAATATAAACATACATCCATTACTTACCTTCTCAATTAGGTTCTCCTTCCAAGCCTCTCCATTTTTTATCAATGAACCTATCTTTGCTTAAAATTTTCCCACACCTTTCACTCCCATATTCAGTCACTGCTTAGTGCAGTGGATAAAACTATGGATTCTGGAGCCATATTTCCTAGGATGAAAACTCTGCTCAACCACTTACTAGCTGTGTGACCCTGGGCAAGTTACTTAACCCCTTCTGTGCTTCATTTTCCCCATCTGTCAAATAGTAATATTACTTCATAGCGTTGTTATGGGAAATTAAAAATTAAATTAATGTTTAAAAGAGCTTAGAGCAGTGTCTGGAATGTGCTTGATAAGCATGTTAGGTGAAAAAACAAATAAAGCCTGTCAATTTTCTTCATGAAACACTTCACATGTGGCCTTTTCTCATTCTCATTTAACATCAAACCAGTTGAGGTCTCCATTATTTCATAAATTGTGACCTCATCACTCTACTAAAATTGCTTTTGAAAAGGTCTCTAATGATCTCTCTCTTTTTTTAAAAGTCATCGCTATGCCCAACATGGGGCTTGAACTCATGACCCCCAGATCAAGAGCTGCATGCTCTACTGACTGAGCCAGCCAGGTGCCCCACTAATTATCTCTTACTACAGGAAATGCAATCTTTTTTCCCCCCTCTCATTCCCCAAATGCTCTGCATGAATTGTCCCAGTGGACCCTCCTCAAAATTCCCTTCTCTTGATTCTGGGTCTTCTTGGTTGCTGGAACCCTGTACTTTTATACATATCCCCTACCTCTGTTTTTGCTATCCCACGAATTCATTCCCCTTTCTGCTTCATAAATGCAACATTCCCCCAAAATATTCCCATCTTTCTCAATACTTCCTTCCTGATGCCAAATATTACTACAGCTTCTACTTCTATGCCAGTGACTCGAACTTTTACCTCTAGCCACAGCACTGAGGTTAAGCTGCAGATTTGCATTTCCAACTCTATACTGGACAGTCTTATGTGGCTGTTCCATTATACCTTTAATTACACATGTCCAAAAAAATAAATTTGTAATCTACAAGGTTACGGTTTTATAGCTGATAATAGCATCAACATTCTCCAAATGCCAAAGGCCTAAAACCTCAGAATCAGCTTTGCTATCTTTCTCTCTCAACATCCAATTTATTACAGAGTTTTCACACCATTCACTCCAGCATACTTCCCTTCTTTCCAGTAACACTGTCATAATTCCATTTTAGGCCTTCATTAACTTTCACTAGGCTGATTCCATTACTCCTTCAAAAGAATTTCCAATAAGAGTACGCAGACATTAGTTGAAGAGTCCATAATCAGCTTATAGACATTTCTTTTCTATAGGCTGACTTCTAGAACAACATGGCTGTGCAAATCTGACTGTATAAGTCTCCCGCTTAAAACTCTTTTAAAACTACCCATCTCCTTTAGGATTAAACCTTCCACTACCTGGACCTCAGCCTACTTTCCCAGCCTCGTATCTCATCCTACGCACAAGAGCCCCCTATTTCCTCCTCTTCACACACAAGTTACGCTCAGTCATTCCTTCAGAGCCTTGCAAACTCTTCCTTCTGCCTGAAAAGCTCCTCTCCACTTCATCCTCTCCAAGAAGTATAATTCAGACCTCACTTTCTTTCTTCAGCCTTCCCAGCAACTGCCCGTTGGGCAGTTTACACATATATGACTGATATACAAATCGCAGGAGCAATTATTTGTTTATAACTGGCTCCCAAACTTGACCCTGGAAAACTGGAAGGGTATCTTAAGAAGCCCCAGTACCTGGCATAGCGCCAGTAATAGAAAAGGTGCTGCAGCCACTGGCCGATTTAGGGGAAACCCCGGCAAAAGGGTAACCTCGGTCAGCACGCATAGTGAGCCTAGCGGGCCGGCACTGAGGCCTTGCCAGGGCCTCAGCTCTGGCACTTCCTACAAGATGCCAGAGTCAGGCGTCCAAGCCAACTGCCAGGCCCTCGGCTGGGGTCCCGGGAGGAGGTCCCTGGGGCATAGTTAGGCTCCCCACTCCAGACGCAGGGAAGGGAAAGGGGCGGGGCACAGCGTGGGCTGGACCAAGGGTTCCTTAAGTCCCACCGGGCCTAGGCCAGCTCCTCGCCCCCATCCCAGAGCAGGTCCCGGCCAATCCAGGGCCCCAAGGGGGCTCCCTCTTGAGAGACCCCGTACCCCTGCCCGGCGCTCCGGCCGCCTCCGCACTTACAGACCCGGGGGAAGGCCACCGTCAGGATCCGGCACCGCCAGGAGCTCCGGCCCCTCGGGGCTCCGGGAAGGGGGAGGGGCAGGGAACCCGAGCCAAAGGGGGACCCAACGGAACCGGAAGGGCAGCCCTCGCCGGACAAAACAACTTCCAGGTTCCTTGGTCCTCTCCACCAATCGGAGGAGTCGGAGGGTGACGGGGCCCGGAGAGGGACATTGCGCGCGGAGGAAAGGGTGCAGAGTATCCGAGAGGCCTGCGGCGAACTCGTCGCCGGCGACTCGAAGGTGTGGTGGTTCCTTCGCGTCCCGGGCTCAGGCTCCGTGCGCTTCGCCGGTTTGCAGCGGCTCCTCTGGAGCTGGGCCTCCGCCGCCTGCTGCCGCGTGGGCTTGAAGGGTGCCTCCGCACTTGAGCCTTGGTAAGACCCTCCCGCCCAGGGATGTGGACTCGCGGAGCTGGGGCCCTGAAAGCAGAAGGTGGTTTACTCCCCTCGCTTTTGGATGTTGGTGTTTCCCAGAGATCTCTTTCATTCCCGTGGCTTCCGTTACCCACAGCGTGCTGACCATTCAGAAATCACTCTTGCCAGCCGAGACAGGTCTCTTGAGCTCCGGGGCCAGCTGCACAGAAGACATCTCCAATTGGTTGTCCCAATCTTAATGTACCTTTTAATTATCTCAAGTTCATATGCAGACCTGCTTCTTATGGTCTGTAGTCCTTGTGTTGGTAAACGGCATCATCCACGCAGTCCTGCCGACCAGAAAACTTGTCATCGTTCTAGAATCCTTTTCCTTCTCCTTGCTAATTCAGTTGCTCGCTGGGCTCTCCTTTTTTTCTTGGGGGAAAGGGGTATTATTGTGGTCAAACACAGTATAATTTTAATCATTTGTAAGTGTAAAGTTCGGTGGCATTAAGTACGTTCACAGTGTTGTGTGATAGTCACCACAGCTGTACCCAACTTCATATTCTTTTTATTTGGATATCGTTTTTCCAGCACCGGTTCTAGAAAAAACTGTCCTTTACCCTTTGAATGGTCTTGACACTTTCGACCATATATGTGACGGTTTATTTCTGGGCTCTCTGTCTTATCACATTTGAGGAAGTGTGAGTACTCCAACTTTATGCTTTTTTTTTTTTAAGATTTTATTTATTTATTGGAGAGAGAGAATGGTAGAGAGAGAGCATGAGAGGGAGGAGGGTCAGAGGGAGAAGCAGACTCTCTGCTGAGCAGGGAGCCCGATGCGGGACTCGATGCCGGGACTCCAGGATCATGACCCGAGCCGAAGGCAGTCGCTTAACCAACTGAGCCACCCAGGTGCCCCAACTTTATGCTTTTTCAAGGTTGTTTTGGCCCTTTGAAACTCCATATAAATTTGAGGATGACCTTTTACATTTCTGAGAAAAAAGGATGTTGTAATTTTGATATTGTGTTGAATCTGTAGACCACTTTGGGTGGCATTGCTATTTTAACAAGTTTAAGTCTTCCTACTTGTGAATACAGAATGTCTTTCCATGTACTTAGGTGTTCATTGATTTCAGCAATGTTTTCAAGCTTTCGGGGTATTCTTTTTGATAATATTGTAAATGGAATTGCTTTCTTCCTTTTCATATTCATTGCTGGTGTGTAGAAACAGCTGATTTTTGTGTGTTGGTGTTATACCCAGTAACATCGCTGAATTTTTGTTTTGTTTTTGCTTTAGTAGCTTTCTTGTGGGTTCTTTGAGGTTTTCTTTCCATATAATTCATGCTGTCTGTGAATAGAGATAGTTTTACCTCTTCCTCTCCACAATTTGCCTTTATTTCTCTTTCTTATCTAATAGTTCTGGCTAGAATTTCGGGTACAGTGTTTAATAGCAGCAGTGAAAGGAGACATCTTTGACTTGTTCCTGATCTTAGAGGGGTAGCTGAATTATTGAGTATGGTGTTCAGTGTGGGTTTTTAACAAATACCTTTATCATGTTGAGAAATTTTCCCTCTTTAACTAGTTTTCTGAGAGATTTTATTATGAAAAGCATTATGGTCTGTCACATGTCTTTTCTGCATCCATTGAGACGATCGTGTTTTTTTTCTCCTTGTTTTATTAATGTGATATATTACATTGATTGATTTTATGTTGAACCACACTGCATTCCTGCAATAAATCCCACTTGGACATGGCAAATAATCCTTTTAATATGTTGTTGGATTTGATTGTCTTAAATGTTGTTGAGGATTTTAGCATCTATATTCATAGGAGATATCAGCCTGTAACTTACTTATGATGACTTTATCTGGCTTTGGTATCAGGATGATGAAGGTCTCATAGAATGAGTTAGGAAATATTTCCTCTTTAATTTTTTTGGAAGAATTTGAGGAGGATTGGTGTTATTCATTAAATGTTTTGTACATTTCTCTAGTGGTCATCTGGAACAGGACTATTCTTTGTTGGGAGTTTTTTGATTATTCAATCTCTTTACTTGTTATATTTGTGTTGAGATTTTCTTTCTTCTGAATCAGTTTAATTTATATGTTTCAAGGAATTTGTTTCTTTTCTAAGTTACTTAATTTGTTGGCATACAGTTGTTCATAGCATTCTTTTATAGTCCTTTTATTTCTGGAATGTCAGAAGTAATACCCACTTTCATTTCTGATTTTAGTTATTTGCATAAAGATCTGTTGATTTTGTTGTTCTTTTCAAAGAAACAATTTTTGGTTTCATTGATTTCTCTCTTTTTCTGTTCTCTAATTTATCTCCACTCTCATCTGTTTTCTTTCTTTCCCTCTGCTAGTTTTGGGTTTATTTTCTAGTTTTTCTTGTTTTGTAAGGTGTAAAGTTAGGGTATTATTTTGAGATCTTTCTTCTTTTTTAACGTAGCCATTTTCAACTATAAATTTTCCTCTGATCAGTGCCTTCATTGCATTCTATCAGTTTTGGTATGTTGTGTCATCATTTTCATTCATTTCTAACATATATTCTAATTTCCCTTTTGATTTCTTCTTTGACCCATTGGTTGTTAAAGAGCATGTTATGTAATTTACATGTATTTGTGTTACTGATTTCTAACTTCATTCCATTGTGGTTGGAGTAGATACTTTGTATGATACCTGTCTTTTAAAATCTATTGAGGCTTGTTTTGTGGCCTAATTTTATGGCCTGTCCTGGAGAATGTCCCATGTGAATGTAAGAATAATGTGTATTCTGCTGTTGTTGGGTGGACTGTTCTGTACATATCTGTTAGGTTTAGTTGTTTTCTCAGAATGTTCAAGTCCTCCGTTTCCTAACTTATCTCCTATCTGGTTGTTCTATTCATTATTGAAAGTGGAGTATTGAAGTTTCCAATTATTGTAGAACTGTTTATTCTTCCCTTTAATTCTGGTCATTTTTGCTTCATATATTTTGAGGGTCTCTTACTAGGTATGTTAATGTTTATAATTTTTATATAATCTTGCTTTATTGAAACTTTTATTAATAAAGTATCCTTCTTTGTCTCTTGTAACCTTTTTTTTGGATTTAAAGTCTATTTTGTATGGCGTTTTTATAACCACCCCAGCTCTCTTTGGTTACTATTTGCACGGAATTTTTTTTTTTTTTTTAAAGTAAGCTCTAGGCCCAACATGGGACTCAAACTTATGACCCTGAGATAAAGAGTTGCATGCTCTACCGACTAAAGCCAGCCAGGGAGTCCCTGGAATATCTTTTTAAAAATTCTTTCACTTTTAACCTATTTATATCTTTGGATCTAAAGTGAGTCTTTCCTAGACTATAGATGGTTGGATCTTTTTTTTTTTGAAATCCATTCTGCTCATCTCTGTCTTTGACTGAAGAGTTTACACCATTTACATTTAAAGTAATTACTGCTAAGGATGGAATTATTTCTGCCATTTTGCTATTTCTTTTCTGTAGGCCTTTGTGCCTTTCATTTCTTTTATTACTGTCCTTTTCTGTGTTTTTTTTTTTTTTAGTGAAAAGTTTTAATTCACCTCTTATTTCCTTTTGTGAATATTCTATAGGTATTTTCTTTGTGGTTGTCATGGGAATTTAACACCAAAGAGTTATAGCAATCTAACTGAATTGATACCAACTTTAATAGCATACAAAACCTCTCCTGAATAGCTCTTCCCTTTCTTTCTGTTATTGATGTTACAGATTATATCTTTTATACACTCTGTGCCCAATAACATAGATTAATATTCTAATGCACTTTTCTCTTAAATCATATAGGAAATAAAAAGTGGAGTTACAAACTGGAATTATAATAATACTTACTTTTAAATTCCCCACATATTTATCTTTACTAGAGATCTTTATTTCTTCATATGGCTTCAAATTACTGTTGAGCATCCTGTCATTTCAACCTGAAGGATTGCCTGTAGCACTCCTGATTGCCAGGTTTAGTGGTAAACTCCTTAGCTTTTTTAAAATCAGAGATTATTTTAATTTCTCCCTCACTTTTGAAGGAGTTTTGCCAGATACAGAATTCTTTGTCAACAGTTTTTTTTTTCCTTCCAGCACACTGATAATATTAACCTACTGCTTTCTGGCCTCCAAGGTTTGAGATGAGAAATTGGCTGATAATCTTATTGAGGATCCCTTGTATGTGAAGAATCACTTCTCTTTTGCTGCTTTCAAGAGTCTCTCTTTGGCTTTCTACAGTTTGAATCTTCTTTTATTTTTTTTTTTTTGAGATTTATTCACTTATCTTAGAGAAAGAGGTGCAGGAAGGGATGGAAAGAGGGAGAGAGAGAATCTCAAGCAGACTATGTGCTGAGCATGGAGCCCTATGCAAGGCTCAATCCCAGGATCCTGAAATCATGACCTGAGCAGAAATCGAGAGTGAGGTACTTAACTGACTGAGCCACCCAGGCACCTCTGATTATTATTCTTTCTCCCCTTTCTCTCTTCTTCTGGAACTCCCACAGTAGTATGTTGTTTCTCTTGATAGTGTCCCACAGATCCCTTAGACTCCATTCACTGTTCACATTTCTTTTTTTCTTTTCTTTCTGTTCCTCAGATGGAGTAGGAAGCACAAGGAATCCATCTCTCTACCTAGACAACAGTTGTACTGGCAGAAACCGTCTGAAGTAACTCTGGAGTCTATTTGAATTCTTGCATCTTCCAGGAGAAAATTTGGTTGGTAAATTGAGGTTAGTTTCAGTCAATGTCAGCCTTTAGCATGATAGCATCTCCCTGCTTCCTACCCTTCAGCCCTGTGGCAGGCAGCCATGTTCACATTCCTGGTGTGGCTTGCTGGAGCTGTGGTGGGAAATAAGAATTTTGTTCACCAAATACCAGAGTTCTGTGTTTTGATTGCTGATTATGCCTTTTGGGTTCTGAGATTCAGGCACAGAGTCACTGCCATTGTTTCAGCCCCCATAGGCTGAGCTGGCTTCTATGGGATTTGAAGGAACAGCTTTTTTGTTTGTTTGTTTTCCCTTTTACCCTATTTGGGAGCCAGAAATTTAAGGATTAGGACATTCAGAAGCAACCACTTACATAGGGAAAATTAGAAAGCCACTGTGTATAACCAGGAAAAGATGCAGGCTTGGAAAAGAACTGAGAAGACCTTAAGCTTTCACCTTAGGCTGATCCTGATCCCTGGCATAGAGATATCCTTCAACAATTAAAAAACAAAACAAAACAAAACAAACACACACAAAAACCAGCAATACCTGGGATAGGGGGAGAATTTGATTTCCACAGTTATCACATTATAAGATTCAAATGTCCATTTTTTAGCAAAGAATCAAAAGGCATACAAATAGGAAAGTATGGCCTGTTCAAAAGAATGAAATAAATCAACAGAAACCTTCCCTGAGAAAGATGAGACATCTGACTTACTAGACTTTAAACCAACCATCTTGAAGTTGCTCACTGAGCTAAAAGAAAACATGGATGAAGTCAGAAAAACTATGAAAAAAAAATAGAAGTAGTATTAAAGATACAGAAATTATGAAAGGAACCAAAATGAAATTCTGAAGTTAAAAAGTACAATAGCAGAAATGAAAAATTCACTAGAGGGATTCAAAATTAGGTTTGAGCAGGCAGAAGAAAATCAGCAAACTTGAAGATATTTCTTTTTCATATGTCTCTTGAACCCTGTTCCCTCCCACCCCATCCCCTTTCTTCTGCCTTAGTTCAAATCTTTCTGATCTTGGTCAGCCTCTAAACTGTTCCATTTACCCCATTTTGCCTTTTCTACTGCTACCAGAATGATCTTTTAGAAAATCCAAATAAAATATTGGCACTGTACTTAAAAACCTCTGAGGGCACCCATGGGTGTATAGATTGAATTTCCTTTTTTTAATTTTAGCATTCATGGATTTTCCCATTCTGGCTCCAACTTACCACATTAATCTATTGAGCCTTGAAATAGAACTTCCAGTTTCCAGGAAATACCAGGTCTAAAGGAACAAATTCAGTAACCGCTTGGGGAAGCAATCATTCAGATCCAGAGAGTGGGAAAGTTTGCACTTCAAGTGGCCTGATTTCTTCAGTAAGCCAGTATCTTAGTATTTTTCTTAAGTGCTAGAGTAAAAAATACTTAAGGGATAGAACAACCAGATGTAATGTGTGGTCCTGGATTGGATACTGATTTAGGAAAACTAGCTTTAAAAAAATATATTTCAATCAACAGAATATTTGATTACAGTAGATAATAGATGAGAGGAAAACTTAATTGAAATATTACTGATTTGGGAAAGCCAACTGTAAAAATACTTTTAGGTTGATGGAAAATTGGATGTGATCTAGGAATTAGATGTGAGGAAAATATACTGAAATGGTAAAGTAGATATTGTTAATTGAATAAAGCAGATTGCTAAACCATGTGATCTCATTTTAAAAAACAATATGTTGGCACACAAAGAAGGATATACATCATGGTATTAACATTGGTGGTGGGAATGTGATGTTTTATTTTTTATTGTAGCTTGTCTCTGTTTTCTGTTCTCCAAGGCACACTGTATTGAATCTGTAATAAAATTTTATTTAAAAAATTTATGTTAAGATTTACATACATATTTGGTGTATACATATGAATCAAAGAATACATGAATGTATAGTCACCAAAATATTAAAAGTGCGTCAGGGTATCAGGGGATTTCATAATATTGCATCTATTATTTGATACTACTACTTTAAAATGGGTGTGTATTATTATATAACTGTATAAGGAGAAAAGGAACAAAGCTATTTTCCTGTGGGAGTGCAGCCAAGTCTATTGTAATAGTAGAAAAGTCACATAAAGGACTGCAACAGAGCACATTTTTGTGTTTTCTCTGGTTGATTTGGATACATTATGCACAGGAAAACATTACATGGCTCATTCACTAGGAAAAGAGCATCGGCTATTTGAATAAAGAAAGGTGAAGAGTAAGGGATAGGCTGTAGAATTATAAATTATCATGACTTATTAGCACCTTTAGTAGCCATTGTTTGTTACCAACCACGTTGTAAATTCATTCAGGACTTTAAATCTCATTGCTTTTGCTCTATATATCACTTTTGAATGATTTAAGATTTTATTTTTAAGTAACCTCTATACCGCAACGTGGGGCTTGAGCTCACAACCCCGAGATCGAGTCGCATACTCCAGGACTGAGCCAGCCAGGTGCCCCACTTTTGAATGATTTTAAAATAAAATCCCAGCCCCATCTTTGGGTCTAACACTCTGAAACAAGCTATTTCTGATCTGTTCTGTGTGTCTCAAGTACCTCAAGGCAGCTGTGTCGCAGCCAATGGTCCTTGGACTTGAGTCAAAAGTGTTCGACTTTTGGATTGAACTGTTACTTAGGTTGGACTCCTTTATAAAATGAGAAAAATCGAACATTCTAACAGGTTTGTGGTAAAGCCAAGGAGATACCCATAAAAAGACCTATCATAATGCACGCCTTCGATAAAGGCCAGGTGAGTTGAGTAACGCTGGTAAGGGCTGCTTTTGAAATAGTACTTGAACGTGAAAGGTGAGATTTCTTGCTGTAGCACCAGTGGTCTTTGCATGTGTACCTCCTTTTAGGCGTAACAGGTGCTGGTTAGCCTGATTCCGCTGCCATCCTGCTTCCAGTCCCTGAGGCAGTCCAGAGCCAGTGCAGGTCCAAGTCTAAACACAGAGCACGGCGCTACTCCACCTTCAAGAGTGCAGACTCGGCGCAGGCGCCGACTCCCGTGGCCGGGTAAAAGCCCAGGTGGAGCTTCGAGGAAAGGAAGTACGCCCTCGCCGCCTGTTGTTGGGCCAATGGGGCTGCTCGGCTTAGCAGCAGGCCTATAAAAATAGGGTGGGAGGCGGGGCGGAGGGCGGAAGAAGCTACTCTCACGTGAGTAGGGGGCGGGGAGGGCGGGGGCAGGGCGGCTGGGGAGGCCCAGGCGTTGGAGCCTCCCGGACGGCGAACGGCGGGCGGCGGAGGAGGAGACGGCGGGTCGGGTAGGGCCGCGTTTCCCCTCCTCCTCCTCCCACCCTCCTATCCATCAAGGCCCGGGGGATCCTGTGACAGCCCTTGCTCGGGGCCAGGCTGTGTTTTTATCCCGCGGGGCTGGGCCGGCCAGACTGCGCTCACCTCCCTCGACGAGCCGGGTTCTGAGGGGAGCCGTGATTGGGGGGAGGGGGAGCTGTGGCGGAGGGGAGAGGGCGCATGCGCAGGCGGGAACGCGCTCTCAGCCCCTGCCCAAACCGGTTCCCCCTGTCTGGGTGGGTGTCTGTCTACCGAGTCCTGCGCTTGCGGCAGTCCCTCTGACCCCCAGGCAAAGCCGGATTGTCTCTTGACTTTCATGTTTGGGGCCAGGTCCTATTTGGGAATCTGGCCTCAGTTTCTCCCCATTGCCACCTGGGCCTGTATTTGTGACTTCAGCTGGCTTGGGCCTCAAACTAGCTTCCTGGGCTGCGCCAAATTTGAAAGACTTGCTTTCTTTTAGTGCTGGCCTGCCAGCTTGTAGTGATCTTTCTGTCTCATTTTCCCCACCTGCAGTTAGTGTCTCGCTCTCCCCATGTCTTTTAAGTCTCTGCTCCCAATACCTCATTGCTGTGTCTTGAGTCTCAGCAACCTTCAGGGTTGGTGTTGAGCCAGAGGATAATCCCAGACTTGCAATAGTTCGCTGTCCATTGCCTAGTACTCCTTTGGTCCCTACTGTTTCTAATGACTGTTAGCATCTGCACCTGTTTTTACAGGCGTCTCCGTATTTAAGCTTTCTCGGGGATTACTTTATCATGGAAGCAAATGTCCTAGAAGACCGTGTTAAGTGATCATGCTACTAGTGCTTCGTTAGTTTAAAATCGTGTTCCAACTTGAATTTGAAATCTTTTGGCTTTTGTGGTTTTTATTAGTTGGGGGGGAAACTGTCAGGGGCAGGTTTTCACCATTTGATATTTTTTCATCCATATAAACACCTGTGTTCACGTACATGTGACTGGAATAGTGTAGTAAGTGTGTTTCCAGCTGCTTTGTTTATTTAAAAAGAAAACAATGGAGGGTGAATTGCACTGTGTTTATCACATTAAACTGATGTTAGAAAAGTTGAAAAAAAGCTTAAATGCCAAGGAAGTACACATTTAACTTTTTTTAAACGAAGGACCTGTTGGCCTCAATTCAACATGTATAGGGTGCTATTTTATATATATTGAAGGTTTTTAAGTAGAGTTTACTTACAGAAACTGAAAATGAATATGGGAGAGCGTTATGTTCTTTATAGACCTCACATTGCATTATATTTGCATCCATGATTGATTTGTATTTACTAGTAACATTTAAAATTCACATGTAGCTTGAATACATATTAACTCAAATTACTAATTAAAATTGAACTGCTATGTTGTAGTGCACTTCTTTTCATTGTTTCAATCTTATAACTCAGTTTACAGTGATTAACTTATGTCATTGGTGTTAAGGTATATGTTTGGATAGTTAATCTACCAACTATGCATTTTGGTCTTATTAGCATAGTATTTTATTAGCAGTTTACACATGCTTAATTTGGGTTAAATGGTAATTTAGTGGGACACTATAAAAGTGAAGACACCTGTTTCCTACCTTTTACATTACATATTGAAAGAAGTGTATTGTGCACATTATCTACATGAAGAGACATGAGTTTCCCCAAATATATCTCAACTTTACAGCCCAGATTCTTTAGAAGTCATTTTCCTTTTTTGCAT